TGATGATACATGATGATATATGATGATGATTATGAATACATGATGATGGTGATACATGATAATGATGTTGATAATGGTTTTCTTAAAGCTGTTATAATATTTGCATTTCTTTCTTCGCCTCAGGCTGAATCATATCTTTCAAGAGCTTTGAAAAAAAGTGAAGAAAATCTAAGAAACGGGGCTCTGACTAGCGAAACTAAAGAAGATGCCATACATAGTAAGCCAATGAGTCAACTCGATTATCTAGTTTTTAATATCTTTTTTGAAATAATTCTTTAATRTTTTTTGTGGGTAATGTTTTTAGGGAAAAACACAAATATTTGCGTATATATCCGCAGAAGACTGGCTATGTGTGCTAGAAAACTTAGCAGAACTAAGGAAGCCATAAAAATGATGAGAGATGTAAGTAAGGCACAAGTAATAATTAGATCAGACCTGGACCTCAAATTCACTGACAGTGGAGTAGCAAGAGTCCCAGGTTAGGGGGGGGGGGAGTGGGCTTGCAAAAATGTTTGCACAGACGTTCTCTCCAAATAGACCATTTTCGAGTTCCAAATTACTGTTATGTTCATTGATTACAAACTCATTTGCTCAAGCTTAGCCTCGAATTCACAACTTCAACAATACAAACACTTTGAAATTCCACGGACCTTCACTGGAACACATTAATATTCTAAACAAATTCTAGGCTAAACCTGAGCTTGCAACAGAGAACTCAAAACTGAAGTATTCACAGGAAATCCATGAGTATAAGTCATGGATGGATTGATCTAGTCACACAGGGGTGTTTGCTTATCCTGACATGCAACAAAACAAAAACTTTCTCACAGTGTTGTGAAGCCCCCCTTCCTCCTCCAGTAAAGCTTTCTTGGTGCCACTGTCAGACACAAGTGGGATGCTTGGGCCAGGTGAAATGCAATTGTGATTTTGTTTATGAGAGAAAACTTCTGTATCTGGTGTGAAAAACATTTTTTGTGTGGTTTCAGTTGATGAAGGAGTTTCCAATGATGAGTGTTCTGAATATACATGAAAACCTTATAGAAGCACTGTTAGAGATACAAGCATACACTGAAGTACAGGTAAAATACAGGCTCAGTACTCTTATCACACTGTCTTATAGAAGCATTGCTAGAGATATAAGCATACTATGTACTCAAACTGTCTTTTTTGTATTGTCATCATTATTATTTCATGTTGTGTCTAACGATGATGTGTGTCTCTTTTCCTTACAGCAAGTATTAGCTAAATATGATGGTGAGTACCATGTAGGAGAAGAATAAACTAAGGTCATATATTGATGATGGTACATGATGATGGTACATGATGATGGTACATGAT